GGGAGGCCCCGGGTGGAGCAGACAGGAAGCGCAGAGGTGCACCCTGGGGTGAGGACCCCGCCCGGGGCCGGGTGCGATGGAAGCTGTCTCCCCAGCGGGTGACAGCACCGGTCTGTGCTTCCATTTTCTGTCCATTGTCTCCCGCAGTCCGCCTCGGGGTGCAGCCCTGGCTTGGCTAGCTGGTGCCTGACTCCCAGGGCTGAGCGCAGTCCCACACGTGTGCTGGCATTAATAGGCATCTGTGGAGTGAGCAGACAAGCTTTTACTGAGGGCCTGCTGTCTTCAGGCCCCCAAATGTGTTGGTGCTCTGTGGTAAGACAGACAGGTCCCTGTGTTGTTGGGGTCCCAGCCTGGGAGGAGGCAGATCACCCTCAGTCTGATTGGGAGCTGTGGTCCGCAACGGGAGACGAGAACAGAGTGGACAGGGCCATTAAGCAGGGCCTAGTACCGATGAACTGGAAGCCACTCTGGCCACCGTCTTTTTTCCTGGGCCAGCACTTCCATCTTCATTAGGTTTCTGACACTTCATTTCACAAAGGAACGCCTCTGCCGGAGATCTGGTGCAGCGATCCTTGGGTTGGCCCCCAGAGTGCACCCGTAGAGAAAAGTCCTGATGGACAGGCAGGGGACAGGTTCCTTCTTCCTGGTTCCCGAGCCCCTGGGTTCAGCACGCGGTTCCCACTCTCCTGGCAGGCATCCTGCTCTGCCAGTACCAGGCAGATTCAGGCCACAGTCGGGGAAGAGGGCGAGGAGACGGCTGTGTTGGGAGCGGGTAGCTGTGTCCGTGGTCAGTGCATGGGCAGGGCTGCTTGCCCTCTCTCAGTGCCAGAGCCCCGAGCGTGCCCTGCTCTTCTCCAGGAGCAGAGTTCCTTTCCATGCTATTCCATTAGATTGCAGAGTACACTCGGGACCCTTCTGAGCTGAAAGTAAGCGAGAGAAAAGAAAAGCGTTGTTTGCCTTTCTTCCAGAAGGAAAAGGAAACTAAAAAGCCACAGTGCTAGGTTTTTAGCGTCTTCAGGCTGCTGTCCAGCCACTCCAGGGCCAGGGCAGGGAGCGTCCCAGTCTGCTGTGGACGGCCCTCTTCTCGGAGTTCCTCACTGATGCTGCCTTCGCCCGTGGGGCCACTGACACCCGTCTTTTGGGCTGGCCCAGGCTTTTCTGTTAGTAGCCTTTGCAAGGGAGAGGGGCAGACCAAGGGTCGCCGTAGTGACAGCCAGGGAGAAGGCCTGAAGAAGCAGGTGGTTCAGCTGACCCGCAGGGCTCAGGGAGTGTCACGGCCCTTATTCTGAGGACGGTTCTCCCCTTTCATCCTTCTGCCCCTGCAGTGGGAGCGTCAGCGGTGTGGCTATCAGCATGAACAGCTCCAGGTCTCCTCTGCCGGTTTTCCTAGGTTAACTGCATCTTAAAATGAATCTATGTTAAAATGCACTTTAATTGCGTTAGAGTGCCTTTGCCTCCCCAGAGGAGAACCAGAGTTCTGTGAAAGAACCCATGCAACAACTACAGCAAAACCCAAACCAGGGGACCAGCAGTTGGCGTAATGGCTATGTCGCTGGACTCCATGTAGTTGACTGAGATTCGAGTCTGGGACCCAGTAGCTTAAACTCACGCCAGGTGTGTGTGCGTGCGCACACAAGATCCTGAGAGGAGAATGGAGGAGAAGGGATTGCGGTGTGGCCATCCCCCCTTGGGGTGACTTCTCGCTTTCTGTCTCTCTGTCTCTGTCTCTTTCTTTCTGGTGAGCGCACGCACTATAGCAAAAACCTCTCAAAAAACAAAAACAAAAACAAAAAACGCCAAACCAGTTAATATATTGTAAGCTGATGTCAATCTAATCATGTCCATTCATGCCACGATGTTTACCTCTTTGTAAAACAGATTCTGCTGCTGGCCAAACAGTTAGGTTCCGTTCAGAGTTAACTAGTGTTTGAAACTGGAAAAAGCCAACAAACACACACATTTGAAACAAGAAGTCCTGTCACACACAGAAAGCTTTGGTGCAGAGCTTCCTTTTCATAGTCTTAGTTCTGCATGGAGCCTACCCTAATCATTAGGAATTTGGAAGTGGTTACTTTTAGATTAGTTTGACCTCCAGAAATGAATGAGAAAGTAGCAAACAGAAGTGAAATTTGAATTTTTCTTGTTCTTCTGGTTAATTCTTTAAACAAAAACTTACAAAAAACGAACAGGAACCGAGCCTTTAGAGTAGACACTCGTCAGGTTGAGCAGGTTCCTGCCAAGTTCTGCTCCGTACACTTATTAAACAGAGTAGAGACCAGATTCTGTTTTAAATGACGTTCAAACAAATGATTATTTTAAATGTTTAAAATTTTATCTATATAAAAATATCTTAAATTTTGGGACCAGCAGATGGCTTAATGGTTATGTTGCTAAACTCCCACATAGTCGACCACAGTTTGAGTCCCAGACCCGGAAACTTAAAACTCACATCAGGTCTGTATGCGTGTGTGTGTCTGCGCGCGCGCATGCCCAAGATTCCAAGAAAAGAATGGAGGAGAGGGGACTGCAGTGTGGCCACCCCTCCAGGGGAGTGATTTTTCACTTTCTGTCTGTCTCTGTCTCTGTCTCTGGTAAGCGCATGTGTCCTATATCAAAAATCTCTCTTTAAAAAAATATATATATATATGTGTGTGTGTGTGTGTGTATCTTAAATTTTTCTTTTTTTTTCTTTTTTTCTCTCTCTTTTTTTTGATAGGTTTTGCTATAGGGCGTGTACACTTGCCAGAAAGACAGAGAGAGACAGAGAGACAGAAAGTGGGAAATCACCCCGCCCCAGGGGGGATGGCCACACCACAGTCCCATCTCCTCCACTCTCCTCTCAGGATCTTGGGCACCCACGCACACACACCTGGCGTGAGTTTAAGCCACCGGGTCTGGGACTTGAACCTGGTCCACTACATGGGAGTCCACCGACATAGCCATTACGCCAACTGCTGGTCCCGTTAAATTTTTATTTTTTAAAAAAATTTCAGATAGGGCCTACTGTGTCATCCTCCTGCCTCAACTACTTGCTAGGACTGCAAGGAGGTATATATACACACGTATACATGTATATATGTGTGTGTGTGTGTGTGTGTATGTTTATGTGTGTATATATAAAGATATACTTTTTTTTTTTGTCATAGGGTTCATGCACTTGGGGAGAAACAGAGAGACAGAAATCCCCCTCCCACCCCCCCACGGAGGATGGCCACACTGTAGTCCCTTCTTCTCTCAGGATTTTGGGCACACATGCACATGTGCCCAGGGTGATTTTCAGTTCCAGCATATGAACCACGACTGGCCACAGATCTCCTTGACTACCACGCCACCTGCTGGCCCCAGCGAAGGGTGTGGTTCAGGCTTTCTGGGTGACAGTTGCCAAATCACTCTAGAACAGTTGTATCAATTTATCCTCCCAGGCAGTAGTATATGAAAGTGTACTATTTTAAAGTTGATGGGGGGACGATGATGGTGCAGTGGCACTGCAGTGCCCTGAGGCTGACCCACATGGGAAGGGCCCAGGTTCACGCCTGGAGACCTCCCAGCACACGCTGCATGTACATGTGATCTGGGCTGTAGGGCTAGGTGCATCGTGGTGTGGTGTGAGGATGTGTTTGGGGTGCTTCCTCTCCTTTGTCACAGAAGAAAGAAAGAAATTTAAAGCAAAAATGTCATTCTCATTTCAGCTCAACCAGAATGTAAGTTCTTTTCAAAGAAAATTCGTTGGCGAGGTTAAAAGGTGTGAAGAACTAGAGCGAATATTGGGTAAGCTTATCTTTCATTTTAATAACTTAAATACTTATTTTTATGTAGACGGACCTTGTTCATTTTAGAAAAATTGGAAAATGCACACAGGCAGAAAGGAAAAAAAGAGACAGTCTATATCTCACCATTTAGATATAATCTAGACTGTTGTGCAGATTTATATTATTTTCTTACATATTTTACTATTCTCTAAATGTAAGGATTTACATACATAGCGGTCAGGTTGTTTTGTTTTCAGCTTTCTTTCTTTTTTTTTAGAGATGTTTTTTTTTTTTTTTTTTTTTTTTTGGAGAGATTTTTCACTGTAGGGCGCGTGCGCTCGCCAGACAGAGAGAGACATAGAGACAGAAAGCGAGAAATCACCCCCCAGGGGGGATGGTCACGCCGCAATCCCTTCTCCTCCATTCTCCTCTCGGGATCTTGGGCACGCACGCACACGCGCCCGGCGTGAGTTTTAAGCCACCGGGTCCGGGACACGAACCGCGGTCGACTACGTGGGAGTCCAGCGACATAGCCATTACGCTAACTGCTGGTTCCCAAGAGATGTTTTTGTTATAGGGCATATGCACTCGCCAGACAGACAGAAAGACACAGAGAGAGAAAACGAGAAATAACCCCCAGTGGGGATGGCCACACCGCAATCCCTTATCTTCTGTTCCCCTCTCAAGATTTTGGGCACAAACATTCATGTGCGTGGTGTGAGTTTTAAGCCGCCGGGTCGAGGACTTGAACTGTGGTTGACTACGTGGGAGTCCAGCAATGTAACCATTGTGCCATCTGCTGGTCCTCAGCTCTGTTTCTTAATAGTGTTTACTGGGGCCAGCTGGTGGCACAGTGCTTAAGGTGGCTGAATCCCACATAGCCAACTGTGCGGTTCACCTCCCAGATCTGACAGCTTGAAAAGTGCACCAGGAGTGTGTGTGTGCTTGCCCAAAATCCTGAAAGGAGAGATGGAGAAGGGATTGCAAGGTGACCGTCCCCCATGGGGGAGTGCTATCTCACTTTCTCTCTCTATAACTGTCTCTCCTCAGTGAGTGTAAGCACCTTCTGGCAAAGCACCTACAGTACTTACTGTAACATCTGTTCATGTTAAAATCATAGATTGACTTATTATCTTTTTTAATAGCCTTAAATAACATTGTGGGTTTATAAAAATAAAAAATGTTAAAACCTGGATAATATTGTGGGTTTTATTATTATTTTTTTAATTAAGACTTTTTTGGGGGAGAGATTTTTTTCTGTAGGACGTGCGTACTCACCAGAGAGAGAGAGAAAGTGAGAAATTACCCTCAAGGGAGTGGCTGCTCTGGAGTCCCGTTCTCCTCCTGGGATTTTGGGCATGCGCCCACACATGCCCAGTGTGAGTTTCAAGCCACTGGGTCCAGGACTCAAACCGCGGTCGGCCATGTGGGAATGCAATGCCTTAACCACTACACCACCTGCTGGCCCTGTTAACTGAGAATTTTTAAGATTAAGAAAAATCTTTTAGGGCCTAGCTGGTGGTAGTGGTTAAGTAAGTGTGATGCTCTGCAGGCTTCCATGCGGGGAGGGTGTGGGTTCATACCCAGAGCCCTCCCTGAGTACAGAGGGCCTTTTCATGCCCAGGACCCGGTGCTGGCTGAGGCTGGGCTGGATCGTGGTGTCAAGACCCTGTGGGGTGCTGTTTCTCTGTGTCTCACTCATGGAAGAAATAGATAAAGAGCATGAAACAGAGGGAAAAAGATCCTTTTAAGTGTGAGGACTGATTTCACACTGTTGTGTTTGATCCATCTCCCCGAACCTTCTCATGACTGGCCCAGTACCTACCTGATATGAAAGAACAAGAGAAAGCAAGAAAACCTGTGTTTTAGTTTGCTGTAGGGTGCATGCGCTTGCTGGAGAGAGACACGGGGGAGGGGAGAGGGGAGAGAGAGTGCAAAAGCACCCCCGGGGGATAATCATGCCACAGTGCCTTCTCCGCTCTCCCCCTGGGATTCAGGCATGCCCACACACGCCTGCTGTGATTCCGAGCCACTGGGGTTGGGACTTGAACTATGCCGTTGGTCATGAGTCCCAGCCACCTTAAATGCCATGCCACCTGCTGGCTCAAGAACGCTTTCTAAAAAAAGTGTTTTGCTGTGGGGCACGTGTGTTCACAGGGTGGGGTGAGAAAACCCCTCTGGGGATGGCTGTGCCGTAATCCCGTCTCTCCCATTCTCCTCTCAGTGTGTTGGGTGTGCACGCACATGTGCCGGCATGACTTTCAAGCCTCTGGGTCTGGTTTCGAACTGTGGAGTTGGCCCTGTGGGATCTAGCACCACTTGCTGGCCCAAGGAAGGCATTTTCAGTCCCCTGGAATCTATTCTTTCACATTGCTTGAGTTGCTACTAATCTGTGTAGACGGTATGTGTCAGTGAGGCATCATGCGTGTTATTGGGCAGGTCGTCTATTTGGAATGAGTTTTTTTAAGGCAGGGCAGAGGTGGTAACACAATGTTCAGGACAGCCTGTAGCTTAAAGGGTTTCAAGAAGAATGCAGACTTAAAAAGAAATTCTTTATTTTCTTATTTTTGTATTTTTATTTGTTATTATTACTTTCACTGTTTAAATTTGACCAGAGAGAGAAAGAAAGAGGGAAAGTGAAAAAGCAAGCCTCCAGGTCCGGGACTTGAACCATGTCCAGCCACATGGGAGTCCAGTGCCTTCACCACCACACCACCTGCTAGCCCTTAAAAAGAAATTCTTAAGTAAATTTAGAATTTAGATATATATTGGTTGAAACAATGTGATCCCATTTCTAAAACCTCTTTAACTCTGTTTTCCCTTTTTTATCTTGTTGGTCCCTTCCCTTCTCTTCCTCTCTTTTTCTTTTTTCGTTTTTTAAAATTTTTTATATTTATTTATTTATTATTTCACATGAGTTTTGCCAGAGAGAGAGAGAGAGTGAGAAAGCAAGTTGCCAGGTCCAGGACTTGCACCACAATCGACCATGAGGGAATTCAGCACCTTAACCACCATGCCACCTGCTGGCTCCTCCCCTCCCTTTTTTTTTAATTGCCAGAAGGCATGTGCACTCTCCAGAGAGAGAGGAAGAGGGGGAAAGCACCTCCAGGTGGGGTGTAGTCTGGCTGCAGTCCCTTCATCCTCTCTCCTGGGATTTGGGGCATAAACACACAAACACCCAGCGTAGTTTTTCAGCTGCCAGGGCTGGGACTCGAACTGCAGTCAACCATGTAGAATCTGACCCCCTTAATCACTAGGCTATGGGGTTGGATCTCTCTTTCTTTTTTAATAAACTGGCTAGTATCACTCGTCTCAAATACGTCTGAAAATGATTTTACCAGGTATTATGGCTTTTATCCGAAGACAGAGGACACGTCATGGGATTGAAACTGTGAACTGAAGAGGGTCTCTGACTGGCTGGCGTGCTGTTAGCTTCCTGGACCCAGTTTTTAGCGGGGATAGGGAAGCCGTGCAGTTGGTCCCGAGTCAGTGTCAGGGCTCGTGGGGGAACACGGGAGTGTCTGGCTCCCTGCTCTTTCTCAGGGCTTTTGCTGATGAGGTTGAGTTTTTGTTTTGTTTTGTTTTGAATCTTGTTTTAATCATTTTGCGGAGGGCATGTGCACATGCTGGAGAGGAAGAAGTGAGAGCATGGAGGACGGTCATGCCACAGTCTCTCCCCTAGCTCTCCTCCTTTCAGGACTTTGGGCTTCCACGCACTTGTGCTCAGTGTGCTTTTTAGCTGTCAGGTCCGGGACACCAGCTACACGGTGGGCCACGTGGGTTCCAGCCACCTTAACTACCACACGTCCGTCTAGCCCCAAGATTTTCTTCTAAAAAGAATTTATTATTATTAATTAATTAATTTTTAAACAATTATATTTATTCATAATTTATTTTTTAATTTGACCAAAGAGAGACACAGAGAGGGAAAGTGAGAAAGCAAGCCGCCATGTCAGGGACTTGAACCATGGCCGGCCATGTGGGAATGTCCAGCACCTCAGCCTCCATGCCACTTGCTAGTCCCCTAATTAATTTACTTTTTAAGGTTTTTCCCATAAGGCACATGTGCTCACTGGTGAGAGACAGAGAAGACAGTGAGAGGGAGAGTGAGAAATCACTTCCTGGGGAGATGGCCACGCCACAATCCCTTCTCCTCCATTCTCCTCCTGGGATTCTGGGCACGCATGTGTATGTCTCCAGCGTGATTTTCAGGCAACCAGGTCCTGTGCATGACCTGCAGTTGGCCATGTCGGAGTCCAGTACCTCATCCACTACGCCAACCACTGACCCACCAGGATTTTCTTTTCTTTTTTAATTGCCAGAGACTGTGTGTGTTTGCTGGGAAGAGACAGAGAGAGGGAGAGGGAGAAAGCACCCCCCCACCCCCAGTGGGTGTTGTCAGACCATAGTCGCATTTCTTCTGTTTCTCCACCCTGTCAGGCTTTGGGGCACGCTTGCACATGTACCTGGCATGTATTTCAAGCTGCCAGGGCTGGGATTCAAACCGTGGTCAGCCCTGTGGGATCCGGCTCCCTAACTGCTAGAATGGTGTCGTCCGGGCTTTCTTATTGGATGTCTGTCCCTACCTCGGCGCTGCAGACAGGCCGTGTGGCCTTCTGTGGGCTGTTATAGGGGTCTCTAGGGTTCCTCCTGTACTTCAGGTACACCCCGAATCTGCTTCACCCTACAGGCTCTGGCCTCTCCGCAGCATTATTTTGTAGATCTTTGGCAACAGGTTTGTAAAAAGTGACCTGGAGGTCAGTTGGAACAAGTGGGATTTTTGTGCCTTTAGATATGATTTTTTTGAAGGCCTAGGAAAGGTTGGGATTGAGCATACTTGACTAGAACACAGTATGGTCAGTTTTTGTGTCTGATTTGTCCAACTTTTATCTTCACAGTGTATTTGGTACAGGAAATCAACAGAGCTGACATTCCCCTTCCTGAGGGAGAGACCAGTCCTCCCGCCCCGCCTCTGAAACAGGTTCTGGAAATGCAGGTGAGCACGGTCTCGGGGCTGCTCGCTCCTCACTTCACATCATCTGCTGCTTTCCCGCCTTGCTTCTCGAAACCGAAGCATGACAATGAAAGACCATGTTATCACTGACGCTGAGGAGCAGGTAACCTCCGGCCCCTTCAGGTTTCTTTCCTAAGACGTGCGCTCCCTCATCCGTGGTGGCCAGCAGAGGCTGATGAGAATTGGGACATCAAACCTGGACCACGGGAGGTCTCGGGAAGATCTTCCTGGGACTCTGCCTAGCATGCCGCTCCTTGGACAAGTGATTGAGTCTTCATTGTGTGCCTTCACAGTCTTCCCAAGTTCACCCAACCTGCCACCTTGTATTCTAGAAGCTGGCGTAGGGGGCTGTGAACAGGACTCCCACCCCCGTCCCCTAGTTCCTCACTCACGGATCGGGAGTCTAGCCTCCCCGTGAGAGCCTTGCAGTGCTGCTTATCCACGTCCCCCGTGGATTTCCCACTGACGTCTCGGTCTGACCATTTCTCACACTGAGAAAGAGGTGGGGGCTCTTCTGGCTCTTGTGAAACAGTCACTATTGTTAGCGAGGCTGCCCCACTGCGGGCCACTCTGTGTATCTGGGAGGAAGTCCCTGGCTGTTGGTGAGTAGACTCCAGAGCGGGTGACGCAGCCAGAGGAGCAGAAGGCAGTCACCGTGTAGCCTGTGCTGGGTCGCGGTCAGGAGTAGCAGAGTGAGGCAGTGGAGAGCGTCCAGAACGCCGGGTCGCGGTCAGGAGTAGCAGAATGAGGCAGTGGAGGGTGTCCAGAACGCCGGGTCGCGGTCAGGAGTAGCAGAGTGAGGCAGTGGAGGGCGTCGAGAACGCCGGGTCGCGGTCAGGAGTAGCAGAGTGAGGCAGTGGAGGGTGTCCAGAACGCCGGGTCGCCGTCAGGAGTAGCAGAGTGAGGCAGTGGAGGGTGTCCAGAACGCCAGGTCGCGGTCAGGAGTAGCAGAGTGAGGCAGTGGAGGG